CCAGCTGTACAAGTGACCAAAAATATCTGGGTTTCCAATGTTATTAATACAAAGGATGCAGCGATTTGTCAGCGTTTAACCAGCACCCCTCCCTTAAGGTTTCCAAACTCATCACAGTCCTCAATGACCTTTGTGTGAGCTTTCAGTTCTTATTGTGCTCCGTGTACATTTTTTTTTTCGAACTTTATTTTTTTTGGCGTGAGCTCCGCAGGAATCCAAGGTGGCCCATCTCCGAGTCAGTATGACTCATGGCAGCTTGAAAGGATTGCGGACTGACAGGTTAGGAAACCGCATGCAGCGAATGCCTTCAGGAAGGGAACAAAGTCAACTCACGTCTCCTCAGGCGGGCCGCTTTGCTCTGACAACCTGTTATTATGCTGGTAAAAATAAGCAGCAGCGGCAATAAGGGGGGAATTTTTGCCAAAGATGATGGGATATGTTACTCCTGTATGTTATTGATTTCTGTCCATCAGTATGGTTTTGATATAACTGCAAGAAGTCTGCGCTAAGAATAAAGACACCTGAATTGCGTGGGCGTCTGTTTGTAAACAGTTGATAGAAGCTCCTTTTGCGGGTCAGATTGAAGCTGGACAGGAATGTGCTGCTGGAGCAGCATCGCTCTGAGCGGAAGATTCCCAGCATTCCTTGGTGGTTAATGAGGGGCACTGGCCTTCACAGATAGGAAGTCGTCTGTCATTAGGGAGTAATCACTTCTTGAGGAGGATTGCAATTCCTGGAATGATTACTGTTGTTATCGGCAGTGAAACTTGGCGCAGAAAGAGCAGATGACTGTTTCTCCTTTTTATTTGGACTTTTCTCTTGGTTAGCTTAAACGGCCTATTCCAATCCCAGCACCTTGAACTTGGAATATTTTATTAATGATATCGCTGGATGTCTTGTTCTGTCGCCAAGGCTCTGTGATGAACCTGAGAGCTGACTTAAAGCCAGTTGGTATGTCTTACCTAGGGGCATTTCTAATTACTAATGGCTCGTGTGTAATGGTGCCTATCATGTTCAGTGGTGCAATGAGGTGGATGCAATCCTTCATGCAGACGCATGTTAAAACAATGGAGAATTTGTTGAACCTGGATTTATCTGGGGATTTGCTTCATCTCCCACTACTTATCTGTGTTTGCAGGGTCTTGGTCCTCTGGCTCTCTTAACTCCTTCAGCTGTTTTTTTTTTTTTTGTGAATTTTTTTCTCTTCCCCCTTTTTCCCTCCGAACGTAGAGTTAAAACTTCAGGTGGAAGGATGCCGCTAAGGTGGAAAAAAAAGAAAAGCCCATCAACGCTTGGCCAACATGCCAAGTATTTGTCTTTCAGGGTCCCCCCATTACCTCCTCCTCCTATTACCCCACACCACCACAGCTACCCCCGGATCCTTGAGAGCAGGAAGTGTATGTTGTTAAGTGATGGATTGGCCCTGTGCTCTTGCTGAGAGGAAAGGGGGGGGAGGCCTTTCTTTCTCCTGCAGGGCAGTCAGATGAGTTTAGCAGTCTCAAAGCTGAGGGTTCGGCTCTGCTTTCTGGAAGCGCCGGAAAGCAGCAGGCTCGCCTTCTTCGTGTTAGGAGGGGAATAATGGCTCATAAAGCAGCAGGTTTCACATTCAAACCAGAAAACAAGAAAGAACTGATTCCTGTCTGTTTGCGTGTATGTGTGGGTGCGCTTGTTTGTCAATGCTTGGGAGCTGCTTTCTGTGTGAGCTGTTTTTGCTGGAGGTCAGCAGGTTTGTGTTGGCATGAAGCCGCCAGATACTTCCAGAGAGGGCAACTCAGGAAGTGTCCCTGGCACGTCCTGCGCATAATGCAGCACGCTTCACTGCTACCGGCTCAACCTGCTGTGACAAACAGGAACAGGCTGAAGTCCCCATTGCACCCAAATCCCCCCTCCCCTCCCCTCACAGTCGCCGTTATAACTTTACCTGCAGAAGTATCCAAAATTATTGTCATTTTAAACCGTATCTTATCTTTCACTCATTTTCATATAAGTATTGCTGCTGTTATTTGATAAAGAAAAGTTCCCCAGCTTCTCATAAATAAATCACCCTATTAATCCATAGGCATGAAAAACCAGAGAATTTCCACTCATGATCCATCTCTGCCTTGTCAGCCGTGGCCCTGTTGTGGTTACCAGAGCCTAGCTACAGTTTCCGTCGCCTCATGATCCAGAGACACACAGGAAAACCGGGAGATAAAAGGCAGGAAAGCTGTCCGTTAGCACTGCCCCGCTGGAAATACTGCATGTGGGAACCAAAAAAATACATGATCTGTTTTTAAACTGATGCATTTTTATTTTTTGTTTGCAATTTAAAACGCGCTATAAATGTAACTATACCTTTACCTTTAGATTCATAGAGAAAATGATTAATAATGTAACATAGACTTTATTGATTTCATAGAGGAAATTCATCTGTCACATCCGCTCAGTAGTCAAAAGAAGGTGCAAAAAGGAGGAAAAGGTGCATGGGGTATATACAGTATAAACAATGCATTCACATATCCATATATAACAGCTGAAGTCTCTTATTTAACAGGATTATTGCACAGGTTATTGCACAAGGCATTAAATAGTGATTATACATTAGTTATTGCACGAATAATTGCAGTAGTGCCGCATTGTCAATTGCTAAAATAATAACTGCAGCCCCAGCTTGCTTATTGTAATGACTGCCTATGAGGAGTATGACATAGCATGAGCTCAGGTTTTTAGCACCTATGTCACCAGCAAACTAGTTACATTTATTTAAATAACTTTTAGAAAGAAGAGTACTTTACAATAGTTTATAGTCTTGAGTAATATTCTTGTGCTGCTGTATTGCTACAGCAGAGTAATATTTCTGGTTACACTACCCATCAAAAATAACTTAAACTATTTCAGGAGCTATACACAGAATGTATTGTTGGAGGAATTTCTTTATCCCTTCCCGACATGAATGCTTATTGTAATTTAAAATTTTAAAATACTTTTTATTGATCTCGAAGGGAAATTAAAGATTGTTTTCTTAGTTGGAAAAATTTTTCTTCTGCTAAAAGTTTTTCTTTTTTCACTTAACCCTATAATGCCAAATGTATCATTTTTGATACATACGGTTTCTGAAATGTTTTGCGTCTGACACCTTTTGCATAATTTAATGGTAAAAACTTTGCTCAAAATCCTATTGTACACAATCAGATATACCTGATAACAGAGGGCAGAAGACTACACAAACAATAACCTTGACTTATCGCATAGTAATAAATTATTAATATCAAAAATGTATTTGTGTTTTTTCTTTTTACATATTTTGTTAAAAGGCCAAACAAGGACTTCAAACCAAAAAAAAGTAATTTTCTGTTTTGTTTTATTCTTGGATCGGGCTTTAAAGGGTTAACTGTCTGTCTGATTACAAAACTTTAAATATTGAATCAGATGTTGTGAGGCAACAGTTACTCAGCAGGAATTTTACCAAGTACTTTTTTACTCTTAGTTGAGTATTTTTTTTGATTTCTACTTTCTACTTTTGCTTGAGTAGAAAAAAAAAAGGTAGCTCTACTCACCTTCTATATACTACTATGGATTATACCCACCTCTGGTCACCTGTATGCATTTTTTGTTCACAAAAGAAGTTTCACAAAATACTAAATTATTCTTCAAAAATAAGTATCTAAATAACAATTCACTCAAATTAGCTACTTGTTGCTGATTAAATAGCAAAAGTTTTTAGTGTTGTGTCTAAAGGATGAAGGAAAACCAGAGTGGAAGTGGGACACGCAATAGCTGAAATGCATTGAGGCATCTGTTGTTCCTGCCTAATGTTCCAGATACTTTATAAAGTTTTAATGTTTCTCAGATATTAAGAAATTTGAATAAAAAAAAATTGTCATTAAGGTTGTTTTGATCTAGTAACAATAAATTAAAAAAGATAAAATCTTTGAACTTTTTCACTCCATGTTGGACTGATAGAAGAGCTGGTAGACTTGTAAAGTAGCAATAACAGCAGCATGATGTACGAGCAGGAGCTCAAAGGCTGCCATTCCAGTTCCTCCAGCCGACACTGATCACTTCTGACGTGACCTCCTGCCTGGCTTGCGTCTGCGTGTATCTCCTGCCCCGTCTCTGCTGGCCATTATTTGGCCCCAATGTGGCCCCTCTGGCCCAGATCCAGGGCCCCGGATCCCCCTAGTCTCACTATCTGATGATTGGTTTTCTTTTACCTATCAAAATCATTGAACATCCAGTTGTGCTCCGTTCATAAGCAAAAAAAAAAAAAAAAAACTAACAAAAACATCCTGCAGTAAGCCTGCTTGTCAGAATGCATTCCTCATCACAGCTTGTCACTGCCAGGCTGAGGACAGCGAGAGTAGACGGGCCATATTTGTCTGTCTGGGCTTGAGAAGGCGCCTGCCACCTAATGACGTCTGACAAGCAAGACAGCGACGGCTTCGGGTGCTCAAGCACTGTTTTGGGGTCACCAAGATGTGATCTGTAGGAAGTGAAGGCTTTATCAGATAACGTCAACATTGTCTCCTGCTAAGAACTGAGGTTTGAGAGGTTTTCTCAGACTTTTGATCCTAGTATGAATCCCTGTGGTCACATGAACAATCCACCAAAACAAAAAATCCTTTTTCCATTCCTATTGACACGTGAACGTGACATTTTTATTGCAATCTTTTATTGCCGTCATATCCCTGCTTTGCCCTTAATAGATAGTGTAATTATTTTACTTGGTGACCCTCTGTAAGAGAAAACACATAATGTTGTGGGGTATACTTCTCTCACAAGAAAATTACTATTTTTTTTAACCAAATGGCCCTGTTATTTTTGACGGACCAAAGCTGCAGTTTTTATCTTTTAGCCATAAGTGGAAAGCACTAATGTGGTCCATTGTCTGAGCTGTTGGATCCTGACAGTTTTTAAGCATAAAAAGTAAGCAGGAAAAGTTAAGCAGTAAAGAATGCTCTCATGGAAATCTAAAAAGATAAAGAATGATGACCTCTGTTTTTCTTTTTTGTTTCTGTCAGGCTCTGATGCGTCCAGGTCGCCTTGACCGGATCGTCTTTGTTCCCCTACCTGATGCTGCGACCAGACGGGAGATTTTCTCCCTGCAGTTCCGTAACATGCCTGTAGCAGAGAACGTTTCCCTCGATGAGCTGGTGACTCGGACCAATAAGTATTCTGGAGCAGAGGTGACTACATCTACATGTTCTAACATGAATTACATTTTTTTTTTTGCCAGGTTAGTTTAAGGCACTTATGAATGTTTAATTAATTTGTGTTATTGGATATTAATTAAAATAATTATTTTACCAAGGTAGAATGATTATAAACATACAGTTGCAGACATTTAATGGACAGGTTTATGGATTTATTACAGGTTACAATTTTTTACAAATTTTTAGTCATTTGATTTGGGGTTTTTCCTTGCTAGGACTCACTTTTCAAACATAATCTAAATGTTTTGAGAATAGAATTGAATAGAAAATCCCTTTATTGTCCCACAATGGAGAAATTGTGGTGTTACAGCAGCAGTGGATTATAGCAAAAGTGGTCACACAAATGTGGACCTTTTCTATTAGGTTTTAACCTGAGCCTTGGGTGTTTTCCTCTAAAAAAACAGTTTCAATGGGTTTTTGACTGTCTAAGATTCTTTCTCTCCAGGAAGTAAGTTAATGTGGACTTAAATAAATCAGACGTAGTCCTCATTCATAAATCCATCCTATGGCAACAGCACCACTAGAACTGGAACAGTCCTTCAGCATGATGCCACCACCACCCTCTCTAACAGTTGGAGTTACTTCAGACAGCCCAGTCTTGACTGCACCAAATAGATTTATCATTGTAGCCAAACAGCTAAATCTTTGTCTCTTCCAACCGTAAAGTTTGTTCTCTGATTGCATTTTTCCATGTGAAAAAATTTATACTTAAGCTGAGCTTGAAGGTGTTTATAAAGGACGTAGTGAGATCTGGCCTTACTATGAGCAATGATTCTTGTTTTCCAACGATTTCCTGTCTATGGTAATCTTAAACCTTGCTGATCCTGCATTGTGTTCAACTGTCCTAATAAGTTTCTTTTCATCTGGGACGTATCTTTAAGGTGGTTTTCCGAATGACCCGACCCTTTTTGTGAAACAATCTTCACTTATGTATACTGATTCTGAAATCCACTGATCAAAGAGACCTAGTCACACCCCATGACAAGAAAAAAAAACAACATATGTTCATTTTCAAATAACCCAATATACACCAAACAATCATCCCGTTGGTATTTACTTAGACCTTGTTGAGCCTGAAGATATTTTTTGCACCAGAACTTTTTAGCACACATAAACACCTTTGTACACCATCACGAAAAGTACTCTGAGCACTAATGGTGTCTAATCCCTGGTTGCATTCATATATTTCTTTGCACCTTTTCAGACTTGATCTTGGACTTTTTCTCTCTCTGGACGTTGCGTTGCTCCATCACTTCCTTGTTTGCTAATGTATCCATGTATAATTATTGTACCTCCAGTCACATGGTCTTGTTACAGCAAATGCTGAAAACGTTTAAATTTGCTAACAAATGGACCAAAAACAGTGAGTATAAAACTAAGTAGTAATATGTGATAAACCAACATGGAACTGTAACTGGAGGGTCTTTGTATGCAACCAGAGTGAGCTTCTGACGTAAACATTCATAAATAGACAGTACAAGAATATTTTAGGATAGCTTCATGATTATTCCCCAGGAAGTGTTTTCTTGTGTTTACACCGATTCCAGCAAATATTTATCCTCATTTGCTGTTTTTTCGTTTCACTGCATCATCGATACATCAAGTCCCTGATTGGTTGTCACGACACGAATTGATGGAATATTCAAACTTTTGAACCCCAGTCAAATTTGCTTTGTGCCCATCGCAGGTTACACTTCGCTCTCGCTTCGCCCTAATCGAGTGCTCACATCGTTGAAAATGTATCTCTCACATTGCTTCACTCCAGAACCTGCCTCTTTACAGGGATAACATGCAAATCATTTGACTCATTTGCATCCGATCTCAATACAGCATTAATCTACACATTTACTCTTGAGTTCCTAGACTTTGTTTGGCTGTCTTATTGACACTCTAATGCACAGGTGTCAAACTGGTTCCAGAAAGGGCCGTGTGGCTGCAGGTTTCCTTTCCAACCAAGCAACAGCACACCAGACTCTATTCATCTCATCAAGTGAGTCCAATCTTAACATGATGACTTGATGAGATGAATGGAGTCTGGTGTGCTGTTGCTTGGTTGGAAAGAAAACCTGCAGCCACACGGCCCTTTCTGGAACCAGTTTGACACCCCTGCTCTAATGAGTAAAGGGCTGGTTATCCTCCTGCAGCAGTGTGTCACAGTGAGCTTGTCGCAGATATTTCTTTGATTTATGCCCAATATTGAATGGGTGGTCTGTGCTATGTTATTCCACGCCACAACGCAAGAGGGCCAATCAGGAACTAGCTGTGGGTCTAGAGACGGCCGAGGCGGTGAGGAAGTGGGGGCAAGTTTGTACGACAACGGAGGGAAGTGAGGACGAAAAAGAGCGGAGATCCAGGTAGAAAAAGGGTCCCAGCATTCTTGCGCACCTCGCTCTTCTAGCTGGTCCATCTTCACAAGTCGTTTTCCACAATGGTGGTTATACACACAAAACAGGCCGGTAAAGCCAGGCGTACACTGTGCGATTTTTCGGGGCGATTTTCCAGTCGTGCGAGAATCGTTTGATCGGCCCGACTTTCAGGAATCGTGAAGTCGGGAGAGAATTAAACATGTTTGATTTTCAGTCGGCCGTCTTGGGCAAATGGCTCAGTGCATATGTGTAAACAAGGATTCTTCTGTAAACACATTAGCATGACAGGGATGCAATGAGTGAAATGCAATTCTGTCTGTAAAACTGACAGACCATAGTAGCCACGTTTGCTCAGCCATGTCTTTTTTCCAAATACGTGATCGTCTTTTCTTTTTAGGGCTTTCAGCACAAAATTGTACAAATTGCCAAGGCAGCGTATTTCACTCTAGTGAGCTTCATATTCCTCTTCTATTTTTTTGGCTTCCAGATAGACGAGTCAGAGCAGCTCCATCTCAGTGCAGAGCTGAGTCTGACATGCTTTTTAGTCGTACAGTGTGAGCAGGTAGATCGCATGAGAGCGTCGTGCCGCACGTACATTGTGAGCTTTGAACTCACACTGTACGATGAAACCGCAGGGTTTGGTTGTACAGTGTGAGCAGCAGCTGCGTGCAACCATTGAAAAAATCACACAGTGTATGCCCGGTTTAAGGAAACAATCAGGAAATATGGATAGGGTAGAGCGGATGTAGATTTGACCAATCAGAGGCCTCCTGTTTGCGGCACTGTCTGCGGTCACCTACAGTTTTGGACAAGTGCAGCAGAGTGTCTGAGTAGGGGGCGGGGCATATCAGCGTTAACTGCGACACACATGCAGACAACCTGATTTTTAAGTATAAACCAGCCTTAAGTCCTTTCATTTTGCTAACAAAGTTATTTTAACCACTGTAACAAGGCATTACTACCAACAAGAATTAATGAATATGTGGCATTTTAACGTTATAAAATCTCCAGCAGCCCTTAAGAAAATATTTAGGTAAATTTATGTACATATTTAAGTATGGTGATATATTTTGACCTTGTGATAATCATAAAAAATCCATAATAAATGCAAAGTATTACATTCAGTTCCTGTTCATTTTGGGTATGTGGAAACGTAGCAGCATTAAGCTTCATGTTAGGTTGATGTTCAAATGTTAAAACTTGGAGGATCTTTATCGGTGTCTGTGTTTCAACACAGTGGAAGATGGAAAAACTGCTCTTGTTCTGACCTGCACTGACAGTAAGCATATTCATCACGCATTTATATGCGATATGTTATCTTTGTTATCAGCCTAAGTTTAAACTAAAGTTGTAAATATTTGTGGATAGAAGCTGTTTTTTTCACATCCTCTGTACAATGTCCAAGTTTATACATATAGTACATTTCAGGAGCAAGACATTTCAAGCTACCGTACATCAAATAATAACAATTGGAAAAGACAGAGAGAAAGAAAAGTACATTGCAGTGGTGTAGTAAGAAAACAAACGGAGCATTAAAAGTATGAAAACAATTATTGAAAATGAATTTGTGATTAATTTATTATAAATAAATGAATATTACAATAAGTAAAACAAGAAAAACACTCAGAGAGCGCAGACCTCTGCCATAGTTGTAAGTCAAGGCTGACTTACAACTATAGCTAAAACTTGCACATCATCTGGATCATTACCAAATGTTTATGAATTGCTCATTGGCATGAGGTGCACCTTTGGTAAAAATTTTCTTAAAATCCTTTCATAACAGTAGAAATAAGGCCCAACGTGTGTCTGCAGCCTCTGGTGTTTGTTTTGCTCTGACCTCCTTCTTTCCCTCTGGTTTCTTGTTTGATTAGCAGATTGAGACTTCTAGCGAGGTATGGCTCACCTTTCTTGCATTTTTTTCTTCAGTATGATATGATTCTGGACTAAATTGAGTCCAATGCTGAAGCTGTCAATATTCTCTGCGGCCGCCCTCTGGTTTAGGGGGAAAACTGCATGTTTTCCATATGATGTTAAAAAATCCTTAAAAAAATTCCTGCATCCAGGTTATGATGTGGATCATCACCAAAATGTTATGGACTGTTCTATTAACTGATGTGGACCTTTGGTAAAAATTCCCTTAAAATCCTTTCATAAGAGTAGAAATAAGGCCCAATGTGTTTCTGCAGCCTCTGGTGTTTGTTCTGCTCTCACCTCCTTCTTTCCCTCTGGTTTCTTGTTTGATTAGCAGATCGAGACTTCTAGCGAGGCATGGCTCACCTTTCTTGCATTTTTTTCTTCATGCATGTTCCGCCATATGATGTTTAAAAATCCTTTAAAACATTCCTGCATCCAGGTTATGATGTGGATCATCACCAAAATGTTATGGTCTGTTCAATTAACTGAGGTGAACCTTTGGTAAAAAATTTCATCAAAATCCATTCATAACTTTTAAGTTGTCCTGAACACAGACAGGCGGATAAACAAAGACACCCACAAACTCAACTAATGTTTAAATGGCACAATTAAAGGCAGCTCTAACGCATTTATTTTTTTTAACTTTCATTCAAAGCAACTTTCAGCACTATTACAGGTTTCTTGGTTTTTTTT